GGGGGGGGGGGGGGGGGGGGGGGGGGGGGGGGGGGCAGGAAGGGTGATAGGCTTCTCTCCGGTTAAACGAAGAAAAAAGCTAGGAAATCACCAACAAAATTTCAAAATCCGGGGAAAATTCGACGATAGCATCCACGCAAATTTTATCAGGTGCGTTAAACACATTCGAGTTAATACCAAATTTCAGCAGCATCGCAAAAAAGCGAACAAAATCTAACTCCACTTAACAAACAATTCCACTTCCTGATCCAAGCTATTCATCTTAGGGAATTATGATGTTCAAAAATGTGAATATACAAAAAATTCTATCCAGATTCACTACTATATGTCCAAATATTGCATAAAGAAAAAGCTCATATTCTGAAAATTCAACAAATAGGAAGGATATTTTACTGAAATCTAACATTTACAGAGCATAAATAAAGGCAATTTTATGAACTTCAACAAGAATTTTCGGAAAACATTGCTAAAAAGCATCGCAGAATTCAGCATGGCATTCGCATCGCTACCAGTGATATCTTGCAACCGAAACGGGAATATCCTCGTAGAACAGGATTACTCCCAAAAGATACACGAGGAGGACGAAACGAAGAACCATTCGTGGCTGAAATATGCAGAATTAAGGCACTGAAGAAATGCGCGTGAAAAGTAGAAATCTGGAAGAGTAGAATAGGACTCGTCTTAAGTGTTATGTGTCGGAGAACATTTTACGATGCAGTCTGTGTTTCATCCCTTAGCTGTAAACACAGACCGAGCAATGCATGCGGGTAGAAGCGGGAATCATCAGTACAGCCTCCTACCCGCCATGTTCTGAACAGTCATGTGGCTAATTTGCAAAATAGATATGCGAAAGGAAAAGAAATCAGGGAGAGGGGGCAAACAGAGTGAGAGAGGAGGGCAAAAAGAGAAGTTAACCAAAAATCTGCCCTGATATCTGTCAAATTTTCTTACAATTATTCGATGGTTGTACGACCGCCCGTAACAGCAATAAATGCACCTCGACCACGGAAACACGCAATCCATTTGGCCAAAATGTTGACTTGGATTTTTCGTTTTAAAATATTTGCAAATTTGTCAACTTTTTGGGCTTTTCCGCTTAAAAAGATGATAAATCAGCAAGTTAATCATCACAGAAATCCGCTACTACAACAGAAAAATTAGGGCACGAGCCGGAAAGACTTCACATTATGGGACAAAAGCCAATTTCACCATGAAGGACGGCATGGACACTTCCCTAAAGTTTCCAGCTTTTTTCGTTCTCACGTATCTTTTGGGAGTAATCCTGTTCTCGGCTGTAAGGTGTTTAGTTAGCAGTTTTCTCACCAAAACTTTCACGTGCTCGTACATGAGATGTGGACGCGCGCCACGGCTTATATCGCGTTCCTGGGGTCGCACTTGTCCAGGTAAAACACTAGCAAAACTTCAGCATGAAAGCTTGCGTGGTTGGGGAGTAGAAACACCTGGACAGCCGAACACACACACACACACACACACACACACACATAGACAGAGTCGTTGCAATATGCATTTTTGCTGCCTGTTACAGCGCTCTAGCAATGCACGATAAAAAAAACATACAAAAATCTAGCCTCAGCGTTAAGTCCCTTACGCGTTTATCACAACATTGTTTGAGATAACGTTAGGAGAAAATCGCTGCCCCTAAGATCAGGTAAAAATTGAGATTTAACAGCTCGGAAAAACAGACCAGATTGATGAGATAATGGTCGAAATAGTAGTGCTCGAATCTATAGAAAGCCTTCACTGCTGCATATGCTACGCCACCAACTGACATGTCCCGACGTGATAGCCATGCCGGCAGGTCGCACAGTTTTACATCCACCAACTTTATGTCTTCTGCAAAAAGATCAGATCCATGAAGTGGCGCGGATCCAGAAGGCAAGGGGTATTTTAAGAACGATGACACAACAGCCGAGACCTCCAATTCACGTTCCTGGGATTATATCGTCGGTTGGTACGCGAAGCGTTAACTGTTAAAACTGGTAATCAGTGGAAGAAGCTGCCTCGGATTGTAGCTGCCTTAGTAAACGTAAAACGAACATTTTTTTAAGAGGCTTGTGCACTACCTCCTGCCTTATGGTGTCTGGATATGATCAATAATGTCGTGTAATAGATCAAATAATGATTGCTTTCTGTTAAAAGTAGGTTAAAGAACAACTGCGTTATTATGACGCAATACCTCTGTCCCTGGTTCAAGCTTTGCCCACCTTACCCTCATTGAACTTTCGATCTTTGTCTCCTGGGGTATAAAAGCACTTCTCCCCAACGCCGGGAAGACCACTACCCATCCACCACTGCGACCTATTTTTATTTAGCTTATACTCTTATTCTGGGGAGCTTCGGCTCCCCAGAGCCTCACTATCTTCTTCTGTATTATCTTTCTAATATTCCGTGTATTAATAAATATGTATGTAGGACGCGACGTCGTACGCACACACACTTACACACATTAGCCTGATAAGCTAACAGTTAGGGTCGCGATAATAAATAGAGAAATAATGATAGAATAATAATAACGATAATAATAATAATGATAATAATAACGGACAAAATTCATCATAACAAAAACAGCAATAATAATGTAGAATAGTAATTTAATAAAAATAGTAATAAAGCAGAATAAAGGGTATAATAATCATCAAAGTAATAATAATTTTGGCAGTTGAGGAAAGAAATACCCGAAATATATTGGTAACGTTTTACCTCGTTAATCGTGCAAAACAAATGCTTTTTTTTTTGAAAAAAAAAAATGGGCGTCCCCTCCCCTCCCCTCCCCCCAGCTTTGCCTAGCGTCCCTCCACCAATTCCGCTTCTAGCTTTTGCCTTTGAGGATAACGAAGGGTATTTTCTTTTTTCTTTTCCTGCATCCTTTTTCCTTCTCAACGAAAAACTGCTACTTTATGTCATTTTTGGCTTCTAAAGTTACGTTTTTGGCTTCTTTCTTAAATTCTCCGCGTTTTCCAAGATGGCGTTGAAGAAAACTCGATGCGTTTGCTGAGCTTAGCGAAGAAAACTCAATGTTTCTGACTTTTTCACATTTGTTGTAAGACAAATAACGTCCGAGTTATCCAGCAAAAATATTTCACCATTTTGACCTTAACGAAATTTGTTGCAAATCAAATAGGACCTATATTTTCAGCAAAAGCAATTTACCAATCAACAAAACACAATTTTCGCAGCTTATCCACAACTCCAAATACGAGTATATTTCGCGCAGCTGAGTCGAGCAAGGCCGAATTTTAACAACTCTCGTTTTTGCGGGAAATCTTAATGTTCTTAGTAAATATATTTTGCACCTTTGACCAAATTCATCGCGTATTTCCAGCCAGAGGATTTTTCCGCTTTCCAGCAGTAATAAATGACCAGCACACTGACTGCCGTTGCAAAGATGCGTTTTTTGCACGGTTTCCCGCAGTTTTTGTGGCTAACGGCGCCGTTTTTTTTTGGGACAGATCTAGCTAAGAAAATTGAGGGCTGTAACCTTTCAAATTCCAGCCTTCTAGCTTTTCAGGTTCCCGAGTTAGCAACTTATCCACAAAAAAACTTTCCGGGGCCGTAAGCGGGAAGCAGGCATACCCGAGGAATGAGCTTGAACTCATTAACGTCTAAAGTGGATGGGAAACATCCCTTAAAAATTTTAGCTTTCTAGCTTTTCTGGTCCCCGAGTTAGCAGCTTAAACATCAGAAACTTTGGCGGGCTCGTACGAGTAAACCACGTGGGCAAGAGTGGCCATTTTAGGGATGGGGACCTGTATGTGCATGTAGATTAAGTTCGCAAAAATTTCAGTCCATAGCTCCTGTACGTCTCGAGATGAAAAATCGATACAGACGAACACACAGAAACAAACACACAAACATACAACCTGTCGTCAATATGCGTTTTCTGCATTGCTATGCTTCATTCCTTTATTCTCTTTCCCTTATACTTACTTACATTCCGTCTCCTTCTATTCATCTTTTATTCTTCTACTTTTTCCTTCTACTTTTCACTTTCTCACACAAATCAACTATCGTATTCAGTTTTCCATCTAAATTATCTCCCTAAATTTTGTTACCACAATCGTCGTACTGACGAGGTGCAATTGTGAGAAATGTATACGACTTAATGGAACGAAACATTTCCTACCCACTTTGATAATTCCTTAATACCCTTTCATCGTTTTCTTTTCATATTTTCTCTTTAACCCTAAATAAATGCAAAAAATGCATAAAAACCGTTATCCCCCTCCCCTACTTCCTTTTTTTTATGCTCAACCTTGCCTATTCAAATTCAGCGTTCTCGCGCTCTTGAGTATCACCTACGGGCTCTTGAAAATCTTGGCGGATAAACCATTAACTCGGGAATCACGGAAAGATATTCACCTTAAGGCTCGTGAAAATTTTGGCGGATAAACTATTAATTCGGGAATCACGGAAAGATATTATCCTTCAAGGTTTCATATTCAACTTTATACGCTGGTGCGTGAAATTTTTAACTATTTTCCAATTTTTGAACTATTTTTGCATAGACTAAAGTACAAGGAAGTGAAAATCATTAAAAGGCAATCGTTCGATGGGCTGAATTGCACAAGACGCATGATCGCACGGGCTAGTCTGGTGCGCGTTGCTATTTATTTCCCTCATTACGCCGCTTTCTGTAGGATTTCTACGCCCTGAAAAATCATGAAATGCGAAAATGATGTGGTGCAGAAGACGTACTTTTGGTTCCATACGATCGCCAAGGACAGAACGGTCCATGAATTTTCGGATCATATGCCTTGTCCCGTAGGCCAATCTCGACACGGCTCAGCACACGGTTATGCAGGTACACCCAGACGCGTTCCCAGAGACGGCAGTACGGTCGATAAAGGTACACATCCCAGTACATATCATAATGGATTTTTTGCCCTTTCGCCAACGGCGGAATAAATGGACGAAAATACTTCGTCACCGGCACTTTGGTGGCCATCTGAAACAAAAGAAATAAATAGCAACGCGCACCAGACTAGCCAGTGCGATCATTCGTTTTGTGCAATTCAGCCCATCGAACGATTGCCTATTAATGATTTTCACCA